GCTTGTTTTTGCCTCAGGGCTTTTGCATTTGCTGGGCCTTCTGTCTGTAATGCTCTTCCCCAGATCAAGCAAATAAAAAAACAAAAGCAAAAACAGAAACAAAAAAACCAGAATCCTTAGTACTGTTTACTTTCAGCTGAGAGTAAGGTAACACCCTGTCACTGATATGTCTTCACCACCCTATTTCAAGGAGCCATTCACCAGTCACTCTCTACCACACCATCCCATTTTAATTCTTTCATACCACTTACCAAGATCCGAATTTATTTTATTCACTTATTTTTCTTTCTTTAAAAAAATTTTTTTTTCAATGTTTATTTATTTTTGAGAGACAGAGGGAGACAGAGCTTGAGTAGGGGAGGCACAAAGAGAGAGGGAGACACGACTCCAGCACAGAGTCGGATGTGGGGCTCAAACCCACAAACCGTGAGATCATGACCTGAGCCAAAGTCAGACGCTTAACCAACTGGGCCACCCAGGCGCCCCTACTTCTAATTTTTCTAATAAAATTTTAACCTCATAAGAAAAAGAGGGATCTGCTTTTTAGATCAGTGAGTCTCCAAAGACAAGGATATCTCCTGACACAGAGAAATATCCCACTCCTGACACGTCGTAGTTTATTATTGAACAAATACACTGTGTGGAAAAGACACAAAATGTTCTTGTATACAAGTAAGTTTTCATTTGCTGAATGAATTAAATCTACAATTACAAAAACATTTTAAAGTTGGAAGACAAATTGAAGATCATCGAAGACAGGATCTACCAGATAATTGGTCAGATAATCCTTTTTTTTTTTTTGAAAAATTTATGTCTTTATTTTGAGAGAGAGAGAGAGACAGAGCACACAACTGGGGGAGGGGCGGAGAGAAGGGAGACAGAGAATCCCAAGCAGCCTCTGCCCTGTCAGCACAGAACTAGATGCAGGGTTCGAACTCACAAAGAAAAATATGGAACGCTTCACGAATGTGCACGTCATCCTTGCACAGGGACCAAGTTAATCTTCTCTATATCGTTCCAATTTTAGTATATGTGCTGTCGACGTGAACACTGGTCAGATAATTCTTACCTATGGGGGCTGTCTTGTGCATTGCAGGATCTTTAGTGGCATCCCTGACCTCCACCCACCACATTCCAGAAACATCCCTTTCTCTCCCACCGGGTGTGATAATCAAAATGTCTCAAGACATTGCCAAATATCTTTTGGGGAGCAGAATCATTCCTGGTTTAACGTTACTTGTCTAAGGCAACCCTCCTTATTCAATAGGTGGAAAAATTGAGGTCCAGAAAGAGCAAATAACATATGCAAAGCCATTCAGCCAGTTAAGAGCAAAACCAGGACTCCTACCTGTGACTGGATACACAGGGTACTTTCTGTTACACTTGGGCTGAAACAAAAGATCTGCAGGCATAATCATGTGGGAGCATCCCTGATCCATAGTGATTAGCTCTTTACTAGTTGTCATGTTAATCAAATCATACCTTTCCATATGCTGCTTGATACGCCTGAACAATCAGCTGCCGCTGTGCATTTGTCCTTTCAGTCAGAATGCTGATGAGTGTTTCCTCATCGGTTCCTAAACGAGACAAAAAGAATATTACTCACTATCAACCCAAAGATGCCTAATATCTGTTATGAACAAAGGAAAAATGATCAATGGTTTGAAACAAATGCAGAGAGGAAGGCATTTTAATTTTTAATTTCCAGGTTCTTACCAGGTTGGAATCTGCATTTCTTTGCCAGGCTTTCGGAAAAGAAAATTAATTTGGGGGAGTTTGGGGGAAAGACAACAATTATTGTCCAAATAGTCCTCCCTGTATATCAGACCGAGGGAGTAGTGCGAGGAATGTGTTGCTTTTGAACTAGGGCTTTTCCCCCCTTATGAGGTTCAGTTGCTGTCCTATCACCTTTTATCTCTCTCTTATCTCCATACTTGATGTCAAATATTTTTCTCTAAAAAAAAGGAACTGACATGTATTGAGAACCTGCCATATTCTAGATACCTTTTATTCATGGTCATAGTTAATATTCACTGAAGCTCTGGGCGGTAGGTAGGATTCAGCTGTTCCAAAGATGAAAACACAATATTTAGAAAAGTTATCTCATTTGCCAAAGTCATGCAGCTTTTTAGTAGCAAGAATGTAAAACCAAATCTCTGACCCCAAAACATATATTTCCCTCTCTGAGTTGTACCACTTTCAGACATCCCAGACCCATAGACTTAAGCACCCGTTGTAAGTAAAGGGCTGATGCTGGCCTGTTTGAGAATGTCCTCAAGGTCACTATTTTCTTGGTAATTAAAGTATGAAGTAACATGGGGAGTTGTGTCCACCTCATTTGCAGTGAGGACTACCCCTGGGTTGGGGAGCTCTGAGTTGGCTTATGTTTCTTGAGCCTATGTGATTCATGGTATAAAAAATCAGTTGGAACTCAAGGCTCATCTTCTCAGTGTTGAGGTGACCCACATGCTCCTTGGCTATATATGCCAGTGGCCATGGTACATACTCTATATACATCAAGGATAGGGCAAACAAACCATGTACTTGGTTAGTGGCTGGGCCTCCCAGGGAAAGATGCTGTCCTACCACATCTCTGGTCCTGGATTCTTCTATGGCATTAAGTAAACATGGAACTCAATTAAAGCCTAGTTGTGTCCTGTGAGTCTGATGATCGATTTGGACCTGTAATGGCATCTGTGTTGGGGCGCGACTAGCCACCCCCAACTGCACAAGTATCTCAGATGCTCCGGGTTGAATTCATTCTCTTTCCTCTCTAACTTGTGTTTCATTCTATGCACCCTCATCAATGGCATCACTATGGATACAGTCACCCAACCAAAGACCCCAGTGGTCTACCCCTTTCTTTTCTTTACTCCCTACAGGGTAGCAATCATCAGCATCTCTCGAATTTGCCCTCTCCTTGGCCCTTGTGCATGCATCATATTTTATCTAGAAACGTCAATAGCCTCCTGATTTGACCCCCTTCCAATTCATACTGTAATTACTGCCTCAGTAAATTCTTAAAAAAAATTTTTTTGTAATGTTTTTATTTATTTTTGAGACAGAGAGAGACAGAGCATGAGCAGGGGAGGGGTAGGGAGAGAGAGAGAGGAAGACACAGAACCCAAAGTAGGCTCCAGGCTCTGAGCTGTCAGCACAGAGCCCGATGCGGGGCTCGAACTCACGGACTGTGAGATCATGACCTGAGCTGAAGTCGGACACTCAAATGACTGAGCCACCCAGCCACCCCTGCCTCAGTAAATTCTTTAAAATGGACCTGATCATGTCAATCCCTCGGTTGAAATCCTAATGGTTCTCTGTAACCTTCAGAATGAAGCTCAAGCCCCGTAGCTCATGCACCTGCTCTTTAGGGTCTAGCTTCTGCCTCCCATCTCTGTTCTAATTTTCTACCCCTTCTCTGCATCTCTACGCCTTATGGCCCTAGACTCCAGACAAAGCTACTGCTCGCAGTTGTGTGTAGTTTGTATGCTAGGAGGTTTTTCATCTCTTGCTTTTGCATATGCTCGAGACAGGAAAGTAAAACAGCTGCCTCCTAGTTCAGAGACGGGATCAGACACATGTCTAATGCAAATGCCATTAGGGTACCTGATTCTGGACTGAGAACACATAGGTAATGGTTCTGCTTCTGCAACCCCAAATGCAAAAATTTGTGAAGAAACATGATATTAAGAAAAAAAAAAAGACAAGCAATAGAATTTAAAGACTATTAATTTGTTCAATTTGACATTAACCTAATGGAACAGTCTACTCAACATCGAGCATAAACAGGGAAAGCACAGAGAGAAAGGAAGAAATGACTGTCATTTAGAAACAGAAAGAAAAATGTAAAGCCAAACAGACAGAAATGAGATAATATTACACCAATAAAAAAAAACCTGACAGTATATTTCATGGAACCTAACAAATTGACCCTAAAATTCAGAGGGGAGGGAATTGGGCCAAGAAAAGCTTTTGCCCTATTAGATACTAATTATAAAATTATAATAGTAACTATGACAATGTGATATTGAGACAGGGATAGGCAAACAGACCAATAGAGCATAGCAGAGAGCAGAAAAAAAGAGAAACTTACAAGACACTAGTGGCATTACAAATCAGTGTGGAAAGGATGTATTCTTCAATAAATTGTGCTGGGACAATGAACTAGCCACTCGAGATAAAATAAAATTAGATACCTTTAAATATACAAACGTTAAGTCCAGGTAGATTGAACATCCCAATGTGAAAAATAAGACTGTAAAACTTTGGAGAGAAAACACAGGAGAATATCTTTATGAGCCCATTACAGAAAAGGCACAATAATAAGTATATCATAAAAAAATACTGGTAAACTTGATTTCACTAAAATTTAAAATTTCTATGCAATATAAATTACTATAACCAATGTTAAAAGAAAATCACAGACTGGAAGAAGATATTTTCATGGATTGTAATTTTAAAAAAAAGTTTATATCCAGAATTTATAAAAAAGAAAAAATCTTGCCAATCATGAAGAAGACAATCCAACTGAAAAAATGGGTAATAGATATGAAGAAATAATTCAAGAAAGAAGAAGCAAATGAACAAGAAAGGAGACTCAATCATATCAGTCTTGGGGGATGGGGAAGAGAGGAAGCAAACATACATGCAGAGTGAGATACAATTTTAGAGCCACTCAGTTGGGAAAACAGAACAGTGTGACCTTAGCAGTATTGGTGAGAATATGGAGCACGACTAAGTCTCATGTACTGCTAGTTAGGAATGTTAATTTGCATATTATTTTAGAGAGCAGTTTGGCAAAATTTCTAGTTAATTTGAAGATGAACATCTTCAACTCTGAATTCCATTTGTTATGTTCTAGAGAAATGCTAGCAAATGTGCACAAGATGTACACAGGAATATTCAATGCAGCATTTTTATACTGTAATAGAAAAGAATTGTAGGCAGTTTACATGTTCCATCAATATCCCATCTTATGATCTAATAATTCAATAGACTACTATGCAAGTAAAGTTAATGAAGCAGAGCTAAACATATCAACATGGATAAATCTCAAAAACATAATATTAAGAGGGGCGCCTGGGTGGCTCAGTTGGTTAAGCATCAGACTTTGGCCCAGGTCATGATCTCACAGTTCATGGATTTGAGCCCCGCGTCGGGCTCTGTGCTGACAGCTCAGAGCCTGGAGCCTGTTTCAGATTCTGTGTCTCCCTCTCCCTCTGTCCCTCCTCTGCTTGCGCTCTCTTTCTGTCTCAAAAATGAATAAACATTTTTAAAAAATTAAAAAAAATGTTAACAGACAAAAAGAAGTTGCAGAAGAATGTACATATAATACACAACATGGTTCCAATTTATACTGTTTGAGACCACAGAAAACAATACATACATACACATGTAGTTACAGAATTAAGTTTCACGAGAATACACTGTAGTTTAGGATGGTGAGAAAAATGAGCAGAAAAATAGAGAAACTTACAAGACAGAAGTGGCATTACAAATCAGTGTGGAAAGGGAACTGAGGAGGAAAGAGATCCAGGAAGAATCAGCAGGGATGGTATCTGTAATGATTCATTACGATGACCATTCTTGTTGGTCCATGGTGATGGTAGTGTTTCCTATTAAGTAAATATGGCAAATATTAAGATTTAATAAAACTGGGTGTCCCATACATTTTTCCTTATTATTTCACATTTTTTAAAAGTCCTTACGATTTCTAAAATTTTTTTTTTTTAATGTTTATTTATTTTTGAGACAGAGACAGAGCCTGAGCAGGGGAGGGGCAGAGAGAGAGCAGGACATAGAATCTGAAGCAGGCTTCAGGCTCCGAGCTGTCAGCACAGAGCCTGATGCAGGGCTTGAACTCACAAGCCCACGAGATCATGACCTGAGCTGGTCGGACGCTTAACCAACCGAGCCACCCAGGTGCTCCAGTCTTTACAATTTCTATAGTCAAGTAACCCAACTTGGGCAAATTGAATCATGCACTTTTATTTTTTATTTTATTTTTTTAAATCTTAAAAAATATTTTTTTAGTTTATTTATTTATTTTGAGAGAGAGAGAGAGAGAGAGCACAAGTGGGGTAAGGACAGAAAGAGGGAGAGAGAGAACTCCAAGAGAGGCTTTGAACTGTTAGCACAGAGCCAGATGTGGGGCTTGAACTCACAAACTGTGAGATCATGACCTGAGCCAAAATCAAGAGTCAGACACTTAACTGACTGAGCCACCCAGGCACCCCTGAACAAATGCACTTAAATTGTAACTTTCTTGATTTGCTTCAACATAAAGAGAGGAATTACAAAGTAGTACTGACCAATTCCTCTGATTGCCTTGCGAATCGCTTCAGCATCCACTGATGGGCTGAAGCCCGGATAATCTTGCATTGTCCCTCGGTGTCCAACCTGGAAGGAAATATTTTGAAGTGCCACTAGTTCAAAATGACCTCTTTGTTTGTATTATGTACATTCCCACATGCACGTTGGAAGCATAACAAACCCATAATTTGCAACAACTTCCTTTCTCTTCAGGAGTGGTCCAGGAGACTCTCCCATCCCCAGACAGGCAGGCAATGTGACATTTGCTACATATACAAAGAAGCCTTTCATTTTTCCCCTCTGGTGTAACAAATTAGAAATATACAACATTTGTTCTCTAGAACAATAAATTATGTTAATCCTGGTGACTCCGAAAAATATTTGCTATAAAGTGGCATCTGCGTGAAAGCAATGAGAGAGAATTTCCTGCATCCTCTTTGTTTTCAAGTGATAGCTCAAGGCTTTTCACTACATCTAACACAGAAGTAACTGTGGTTTACAGACTTCAAGATGTTTTCATTAATGCTGACCACTGTCCTTGGGGAACCTTACACTAAAGGACCCACAAATGAAAATCCCATTAGGACTGTGTGTTCTTAAGCTTTGTTTAAAGGATTGTGGCTGATAAACTCTGAAAGCCATTAACATAAACCTTCAGGAATAGCATGGAAATGAAAAATGCCATGATACTAATTTTAAACACACAAATTAGAAATACATCAGTAAACTGGGAAAGACCATTTTACAGAAAGGATAAAATATCTTAAAACTGCTTAAGAGACTGTACAACAGCCACAAAGATGTTGAGAAAAATCCAAGTAAACATGTATTTATACGTTATTTCCTAACTCTTGGAATAAAAACGTGTCTTTACAGTAATAATGTTTTCTTTCTAAGTTGATTTTCCTATCCTGTTACTGAATAATATTGGTTCTGTTGTCTTGTACTAACATGGCTTCATTTAGGCTCTCCTGAAGTGTTTAATATTTTCACAATTGGACATTATCTTGCCACATTAAAGTGAATGGAAAATTAATGTTCTGGCACAGTAAAAAATGAGAAGCCACCGATTCAGTACATTAGGTTGAACAATTTGTTTCAATACGATCAAACACTGTTTATTTAATCTTAAAGCATCCAAAATAAGGAATTCTAATTCTAAAAGAGTGTTTATAACAGGTTAGAAACTAGTTGTGAATGCATCTGATCTAATGGCACCTGTAAGAAATCAGTCACTTCAATATAATCTTTGGAGAATCATTTCTCCAAGGCTTAGTAAATATTTTATGGACTCACAGAACCAATTGGCTTCATTTCAGTTCTATCCATCTAGGAACTTTTATGTTGATCTTATCTAAATATCTGGCATTTTAGAAGATCTACCACAATATTGGAGCATTTGAGTGCTTCACACCCAGCACTGTGCTAGGCACCTAATAGATATGTTAATATGACCTGTACAACAGCTCTGATAAATGAGTAAGAATGACCCATTTCACATATAAGATACCAATGTTTAAGAAGATTGGAGGGGTTGAGCATCTAAGACTTGATTTCGGCTCAGGTCATGATCCTAGGGTCGTGGGATCAAGCCCCGAGTCAGGCTCCATACTGAGCCTGGAGCCTACTTAAGATTCTCTCTCTCTCTCTCTCTCTCTCTCT